ACAACGACTGGCGTAAAACATCTGAAACGCACGGTATGATACAGCCTTGTCGCTTGCTGAAAGAAAAAAATGGAGAAGAAACGGGCAGGTGTCGTGCCAAACTTATAAGCCCCGATATACTAAATCATCCGCAGCAAACTAGACTGTATCCCGCTGACACCGATAGGACCTGACGGGAAAATATCTGACAAGCCCCAGTAAAATGAACAATTTTCTGCTCCCACTGACACCTCAGCTCCGCTTGCATTTGACAGTTGAACTCGTAAAAGTTCGAAACATACCTTTTGTTGTGTGAGCATACCAATAACGATGACATCGTTTTGCACTCGCGAACTTCCTAGCAGAGATTCGATTGTACTGAATTTGATACTCTGCAGTTGTTTACACCGGGCTATCCGCTGCAATTTGTAACGCATATTGAGGTAGCGTGAAAATCGAGAAAGAGAAAAGAAACAGAACTTCGTCAAAAGAAACAAGATGAATACCTGAGTAACAAGTTGAAATCTGTGCCTGATTGCATCAGTGGCCTTATCAACTGTAGATATCACTTTGGGAGGTTCATCAACAGCCATCATTTTCCGACAATTTGCATCAAATACAAATCGACGTATAGAAAATGAATCGAACACGTTGAACAACGAGGTGCTGTAAAACCACATTATGGAAGAGTCCAGCATCACAAATTCCTGTAGCAAATGGTCTAGATCTATGACTCACCTTTGTTGCGCTCCTCGATTAGAAATTTGGGAAAAGACTTCACGGATGACGTCCTGAGTGACAACCGACGTGGATACTACAAGCTCATTACTAACATCTGTCTCAAACGTTTGGCAAGAAAATGAAGCGGCGTTAGCTTGCGCTGACTTCTAGTCTGACAACGCTTCGAAAACTGAGGAAATGGCACGGAAAAAGGGCGCATATAGGATGTAAGATGCTATTTTATCGCTGCGTATCACATGACATCGGGATCTCATAACCACCAACCCTCCGATTCTTCAGTAGAGTGTTAATGAGGAGTCCTTATGTAGCTTCTATCAGTTAGTTTTACTTT